ACAGCACGATGCGGAGCAACAAAACAGCCCATTCGCCCACTGGTAAATCCAGCCGCCTCAACGTATTACAGGCCACCAAGACCGGATCCAACAGGTCCGGCCGTAGTCTGGCCCGGTCACTAAGCAGCGGGAGGCTTAGAAGCTGCTTAACATGTTCGTCCGCAATCGCCGGACGTTGGCGTATCTTCTGGCTAGGAGGTCCCGAGCAGTCTGGTAGGCGTCGTCCGATAATCTCAAGTGGCCGACGACGCCCAGGGCCTCCCCCTCCAGTGAGGCCAGGAGGTACGCCATCTTTTGGCTCGGGGGCAAGTCACTCCAGGCGTACACTAGGCTGTCGAAAAGACCAACGAAGGTCAGCCATTCGGAAAGGACCCCGGAGAACCTTGGCAGGTCCAGAGTTGGGAGCCGTCCCAACAGCTCCGGCTGAAGCTGCTTCCGAGAGGACTCGGGCAGGTCACTCATCCGAACTTCACGCGCCTCCCCGGCATACCTGCCTTCAGCCTCGATCAACTCGTCCGTGAGCGAAAAGAACTGCTCGTAGTCCGCGAAGCAGGAGTCCAGGACTCCCTTTTCCACATCCGAATCCTCGAGCTCAGCGTAAGCCTCCTCCACTGCGGCCCTTCGTGCATCCACCTGCTCAAACCGCTTCATCAAGTTATGGACCCTATCCGGTCGACCTATCAAAGCATGGGCGCTTGTGGCTCAGCGTAACTCAGTCCGCAGGCAACGGATTAGTAGCTTGGGCGATGACATCACTACTAAATACAAATTACGACGCGGCTCGAGCACTAATTACAAAGATAACAAATAAAAAATACAACAAAACAGTAACAGTTAATAAATGCAGTTCCTATCAAATCGAGTTGAATAGAAATTACTCAAATACGAATTACTACGTATCAACCAAATACAAGTTAGCACAAAAGAAAAGACACAAATCAAATCAACAAATAACAAACACTAGTGCGATCAAATCAAGTTAAATTCAAATGGCGCAAATACAATTACTACTCTTTAGATCAAATACAAATTACAATACAAACGAAGATATACCTCACGGCCGATCAACAAAAAATGCCTAGCTCGGAAATCGACCCTTCGATAAGCAATCCACTACAACTATCCGACAATGATAATTAACCGATTACGTGATAATATCCATCTACCTACATGACGTATACCTCTAGAAAAACTCCCGCTTGCGCACTAAAAGGGCGCGGCTTTCAAATCTACCCGCTAACCAAATAAGCAAGCAACAAAGGAAAATAATTTTATTATTACGTACAAAAAATATTTTTACGTATTACGGACGGGCGTGATTGTAGATACAAATTAAACCAATCAAACCAACGCTCCCTGCCACCAGAATTGTTTAATTTTTATCAAACACTATGGTCGGGATCGACCGGGGAATCGAACCCGGAACCACGCTCTGCTACCAGATTGTACACGCCCCTAGCTGTCCCAACCAAGGATGACGGGATTAGGGCCCATGAGTAATCCCATCGACGAGCAGCCTATGTATATATATGGCCACGTGGAATTTCCTAATTACAATAAACAATATGGGAGACAGCTAGAAACACATAGTACTTACCATTATCCGGAGCTAACTTCGCACCAAGGCTTGGGCAGGCTGTGAGTGTGTGTAATAGTGGATGGCGAGTAGTGTACAATGAGGTGTGAATGTGTGGGGCCTTGGCAAGCATAGGCGACCAGCAGCGGCCGAGTTCCAGGCTGCTCCAAAATGAGGTAATCTTCGTTGTCCACAGTCACTTTCCTCGTTCGTCACGATGACAGTCCATTAACTCTATCGTACGATTAACTAACTTACAGAAGCCACTAACTCTCGTTTGTTATAAGGTTAACGCACAAAACGAACACGGAGTGTCCGGATCAAAGGTCACTACCGTTTCGCGTAGCAACAGTTATTTCTAGAATATCAAAGGCCGCACTAGCTAATATTGTCGAATGGACTTATACAGATTCTGAGTCGGATCCAATAAGTCCCGGGAAAGGCTATCCAACAAGGAATGCGCGTTATAAATCCTAGACAGGATGTTTACTAAACGCCTAAACTATTCCACGGTTCCCGAACAAAAATGACAGTGTGCTAGCGTTAGCACAGCTGGCAGACGACTGCTTTGCACTCGCGCGCGCTCGACACATCCAACTAGCCCGAACTACAAAACCGGTATGGCACCGAGCCGCGCGCCCTCTGACGTCGATTTCGAAAACAGCGTTTGGCGCGAACAGGAAGAAAATAGGAAAACAAAATATTTTATTTATTTATTAAGACATTATTTATTGCAAAATAAATTGACAGGTTATAGATGGTTATGTTATATAAATTATAAAGCAACCTTTCTGCATTTTTGTGTAAACGTTATGCCGCGGGCACAGCTAGTATTGAATAAAAGTTAAAATAACGAATTTTCATTTTACATAGAAACTTTTTTAGGAAATCTCGATTGGTTTTATCGATCGATGACAGCAAGTCAGCCGTTTCTTGGTTGATTAAAGATCGAGTTTTTAATTCCTCAATTACACTAGATTGGTCAGCAATTTTTTTTGCAAACATCAGGTCTTTGATCTTAAAGCATCTAGTTTCTTCCTCCTATTATCGCTTAATAACGTCTTCTTTTCCAATGTCTTATTTAACTTCTTTTTACGTGGAGTTATCTCAACTTCCGGCACTGCCATAGGTATATCTTGTGTCTTTTTTTATAGTATAGGATGACAAGCGAGCACACAGTCCACCTGATGGTAAGTAGTTGCTGTGACCCATAGACATCTACATCTATCCTCGTTTGCGAATCAAAATGCAGATGCGTTGTCACCCGTGAGGACTAAGATGGAATGCCTCTTTGCCAGTAAAAAGGATCTCCGGTTCTCTACACTCACCATACGAAACACAGCAGCGTTAAGCTGCTATTTTACGCTGGTTTTCTGTGAGAGCGTGGTCCTTCCCCGGTCGAGCCGACCCATTCGTGCTACAACTATACTATTAATATAGCTGTAGCATGGCTCTACCACGTAAAATCTTAAATCTCGATGATGAAATAAATGGCAACACCGAAGCGAAGCCGGGGCGTGCCACTAGCATTCAATAAAAGATGTGCGTTTGTTCGCTATTTTTATTTATTTATTGAATCCCTAAAACAAAAGAATACAAAGGGCGGACTTAATGCTTAATTCTCCGTAACTCCTTTAGTCGACTGCGAACGGGAGAGAAGACTAGTTCTTTGTTTTGTAAACTGCGATCGTTGTTTTCGACAATCTAACACTGATTTTGTTTAATGTGACTAAGAATACGCTGTCATTATTTATGTGCGCAGTTTGTCAACGTGATTTGAAGTTTATTTCATATAAGTGTGTAACGTATTTGCCTAAAAGCAGTAACTGTCGTAAATGAAAATATAACCGCGTGCCATATTTACCGTGCCGGCTACCCGCCCGCGTGATCCACAGCTGTCACACGGTTTTTGTTCTGAATTGCCGCTCTAATAATAAACAAAGAAGTCTTTGACTTATATACAATTTAACAAAAAGTTCAAACAATCGTGAAGATACATTTCACTTTACAACAACACCTAACTAAACAAAGCCTTTTAAGGCCGGCAACGCATCTGCGATTCCCCTGGTGTTGCAGTTGTTCATGGGCGGCGATAGTCACTTACCATCAGGTGAGCCGCATGCTCGTTTGCCCCCTCTCCTATAAAAAAAAAAAGCCTCTGCAAGAAAACTGCCTTACAGTACTTAAATTGCAAAGTTTTATTAATACAAGTCAAGGTACAACTAATAAAAACAATGTCCACACGTTAAAATAAATAACAAAATCATTTCCTTCATTAGCATAAGATAATCTATAAGATCAAAGTAGACCTAAGATTTAAAAAAAAAACAAAAGTAATGATGTAAATGTCTTTCACTTTAATTTATAGTTAGCTGCCACGGCAGGAGTTTAATGTTTCAGTTTCACTCCGAATTCAGTCTGGACATTTTACAGTGTAAATATGAAATGAATTAATAACTCGACTACAAGAGCCATATTGTACGGAATAATAGAACGAGTAGAAAAACCTTTACGTGCCTTGTATTGTGCTAATTGAAACTGCATTTATTCTGAAGAAGCTGATTCAAAAACCAAAAAAAAATAAACTTTCAAATATGAAACAAATGGGTTAGTGGAAACAGACCAGACCATGTTTTTTTTTATTTAATTGATTGCTAATGTTTATCTTTTTTCGTTTCGATGTTTATTGTGTTCTTGTTAGAGAGCCTATTAAAATCAACTGCTGATGCTGAACATAGGCCTCATCCATAGATTGCCTCATAGGGGGGGATATTTGCCATAGTTGCCACGCTTGGCAAGCGGGTGGGCAACACGGTTTTTTTATTTTATTAGGAAGACGCTGCTGCCCAGCTCCTGATTTGTTTCTCTCTGTCGCCTCTATGACACACTCGGGATGATAAGGGCTAGTGGATATTCTTATATCTATATCTATATATTATATCTAGGCGACGGAGGAAATAAACCAGGAGATGGGCAACAGCGTCTTCCTAATAACAAATAAAAATAAAACACCACGGTTGCCTACCCAACATGCATGGCAACTATGGCAAATATCCCCCCTATGAGTCAATCCGTGGGGGAGGCCTATGTTCAGCAGCGGACTTTTATAGGCTGTAACGGTAACGATAAATGTCGAAACGAATAAATAAAAACAAACTAATATGTATTAAATAAAATTAAAAAAAAAAAAAACATGAAGTCTGGTCTGTTTACACTAACCACTCGGTAAATATTTCAAGGTTCGATTTCACTTGGTTGCTTCTTTGGTTTTTGAATTAACTTCTTCAGAATAAATGCAGTTTCAATTAGCACATATGACATGGAAAGGTTTTTCTACTCGTTCTACAGTTACATAAGGAACTCATGACAAATGGATTTTTACGTAGTGTACTTTTATATTTATATAATATTGCACATATTTTACCAGATCTCTCATAAAAATGGTTCTGCTCAAGTGTGTGTTTTCATATGCCTTTGCAAAGCACTTTTTGTAATACATTTATATTCGCAGATATTACACGAAAAGGGCTTTTCTCCAGTATGTATTTTCATATGTGTTTGCAACATATCTTTTCTAATACATTTATATTCACAGATATTACATGAAAAAGTTTTTTCTCCAGTATGTATTTTCATATGCTTTTGCAAATAACTTTTTTCTATACATTTATATTCACAGATATTACATGAAAAACGTTTTTCTCCACTATGTATTTTCATATGCATTTGCAATTTACTTTTTTCTATACATTTATATTCACAGATATTACATGAAAAAGGTTTTTCTCCAGTATGTATTTTCATATGCCTTTGCAAATCACTTTTTGTAATACATTTATATTCACAGATATTACATGAAAAAGGTTTTTCTCCAGTATGTATTATCATATGCTTTTGCAAATACCTTTTTTCTATACATTTATATTCACAGATATTACATGAAAAAGGTTTTTCTCCAGTATGTATTTTCATATGCCTTTGCAAATCACTTTTTGTAATACATTTATATTCACAGATATTACATGAAAAAGGTTTTTCTCCAGTATGTATTTTCATATGCCTTTGCAAATCACTTTTTTGAATACATTTATATTCACAGATATTACACGAAAAAGATTTTTCTCCAGTATGTATTTTCATATGCCTTTGCAATTTACTTTTTTCTATACATTTATATTCACAGATATTACATGAAAAAGATTTTTCTCCAGTATGTACTCTCATATGCTTTTGCAAATACCTTTTTTCTATACATTTATATTCACAGATATTACATGAAAAAGGTTTTTCTCCAGTATGTATTTTCATATGCGTTTGCAAATAACTTTTTTGTATACATTTATATTCACAGATATTACATGAAAAAGGTTTTTCTCCAGTATGTATTTTCATATGCTTTTGCAAATCACTTTTTGTAATACATTTATATTCACAGATAACACATGAAAAAGGTTTTTCTCCAGTATGTATTTTCATATGCTTTTGCAAATGATCTTTTTTTATACTTTTATAATAACAATTATTACAACAGTACACTTGTTCAGCGACGTGCGCGTTAAGATGTGCCAAAATGCAACGTTTTTGAGATGTTTTAAATTCGCAAATATCACAATTAAATATTTCCGTAAGTTGTGGTACTGGAGTTTGTTCCACTGGTGTCCGAACTGCAGTGGTGTTCTTTTGGTTCTTTTGCGTCTTATGACTGTATGAAATGTGTTTGGCGAGAATGTCTTTTGTTGAAAATTTTTTGCTACAACCATCACATTCAAAAATGTATTTTGTTGATGCCCCTGACGTGTTGTTCGTAAGCATATTTACACTCTTTTGTTTCAATGTTTTCTTTTTCATAATCTTTGCAGGATGCTTTCCTTTTTTATTAAATGGTTGATTATCTTTTTTGACTTTAGGCTTTGATTTAATAGTAGGGCTTTCTAAATCGAGGTTTCCTTTACGAACATCGTTTATGTTATAATCAGTAGAATTTGATTTAATCTGGCTCTCAGACGCTTTCGAAAAATGATTTGTCGGTATGATGTATGGTTCTGAAATACACACGAATTGAAACGCATTCTCTATCAGTCAACCAGGGAGAAATAAATAAATTATAAAATTACATAATTATACAATGTTGCTAGATATAAAGTATTTTACTTTTAATAATGTCTCTCATATTCATTTTTGGAGGGAAAGAATGGTAGAGAAACTAAATTCGAATGATAATGATGACGTTCTTCTCACCATGTTACAATTACCTACATTAATCTAATAATAGATGCTTCGAATCGCACACGGGACAAGCATTATACAGAATGACTGGAAGATTGACTTGTTGATTGAAGATCATTTAGGACATAGTTATTTTAGACAAAGTCTGACTATACTTTTTGTTTTTGGTGAGAAAACTAAAAATTTTACAGTTAATTGCTAATAATTGCCAATTTAATTAACTTCTGTTTTTTGTTTTTAAATTTAAGTAATGAATAGTAATGAATAAGAAATCTAAGAAAACATAGTCTCAGCATCTGCGTCATCAGACATATTTTTGTACAGACACTAAGTTCACGAAAATTTTCTAAACATAATTAACATTTTAAATAATAAACATTATTAACACTACGTTAAAAAAAAAACTGATGGTACTTTAATTTATTGTTAGAACCTTTTTGAAAACATGCTTGGTTATTACTCTTTCATTTGAGGTATAACTTACACGCATTTGTTACAAATTTTTCAATTGTCCCCTAAAACCAGATTGAGGTAGAAAATTTAAATTTTTAGGCAGACTAATAAAAATTCTAATTATTTATTTGTTGATGCTCAAAATAATTGATGCGATTACCAACACAAGCACGGGCCCGTCATCTCACTTCTGTTGTAGTTACTTTCAACGTCATGGTTTCAAATGCTGAATTAATTCTTTGAAATTTGAAATTCCGGCCATATAGCTCGAAGAAATGACAATGAATGAGGAAGTTTTACGAGTGGCAGCCTCGTACCAGTAGTTAAAGTGTAGGGCGGCTCTCCATTAGATGGAATGATGACCTGGTAAGAAATGCAGGAAGGCGATGGATTCCTGTGTTTTGTGGCATTCCGTGGGTGAGACCTATGTTCAGCAGTGGCCTTGTGAAGGCTGTAATGATGAAGATTTAATGATGCAATGCGCTCATCTTTTCATTTTAATTTTTATAGGAAAGGGTGACAAATGAGCACACAGTCCACACGATGGTAAATGGTCGCTGTGACCCATAGACATCTACATCTGTCCTCAATAAAGAATCAAAATGCAGATGCATTGTCACCCATGAGGACTACGATGGAATGCCTCATTTCCAGTAAAAAGGGTATCCGGTTCTCTACAATCACCATACGAAACACAGCAGTGTTAAGCTGCTATTTTACGCTGGTATTCTGTGAGAGCGTGGTCTTTCCCCGGTCGAGCTGACCCATTCGTGCTATAACTATACTACTAATATAGCTGCAGCATGGCTCTACCACAACTAAAATGGAATGACCCACAGCCTGTGATTATCCTGACTCTATAGCCATTAGAATGGAACACAGCAGTGCACGCACTGCTATTTGACGGCAGAAATAGGTAAGAGGAGGAGGGAGGAGTCCATCTGGGCAGGCACAAATAGATCAACTCCTAGGCAAACATGGAGTCACACCACCTAGTACTGACACTAAGAAGATGGCAAAGATAATTGGTTGCTTACCAGTATGTATCTTAGTGACATACATACTAGCTGACAGGGTAAAAATATTTTTTTTAATGTATTAATAAGAGTGCTTTTGACACGCACTTTGAATTTAGACAAAGGCAAATCAGTAAATCAGTACATTACACATGAAGCCCTTTATTTTGTGTCTACGGGCTACAGTAACCACTTGCCATAAGGTAAATTGTACCTTATTTTAATAATATCAAGAAAAGGGGTATATCTTACCTGTTTCATGATTCTCATTTTCTTCAAATTTGGAAGTCTCATATTCGAAAATCTCTTCCTCAACTTTAACGGCATCAAGGCAAAAAATTTCGTCCTTGCAATCATTGTCTATATCACACTCTACAGGCCAGATATCTATATGATAAATTGGTGTGAATTTAATCTCACCTCTAACCTTATGCGGTTTTGGTATTGACTGAAAGGAAATAATTTTTTCAAATAAGAGAAAAAGCCACTATAGTGGTGGAGTAGGAGAAGCCATACTACCCCTGCCATCCCGCAGATGTCGTAAAAAGGGCCAGAGGGAAACTGAAACAGGAGATCGGGGGGCAGCATCTTCCTGACAACAACTTCAAATAATAATAAACACCGGACAAAAGTGAGGGTTCAGCGTAAACTTAAATAAGAATGTACATAGTTCATCTATCCCGAGAATTGAGTCTCAACAACTTTTGGATTCAGATTCACGAAAGCTGTAAATTGACAAAGATTTATCTTTGTTTATTGAGATTTGTTTATATACAATAGGGTAATATATAACAGTATAAACAATTTGATAATTGTTTTTGTAAAAATAAGTACTATTGCTCTAACAAAAGTAAGTTGGATTGAAGGACAAACTTAACTTTGCACTAGAAACATTCTCCCATATAGCAATGGGAAGCAGCATAGAAAAGTGGATTGTGCAGTGACGGTGTAAGAATATCCACTATCACAGGGTCGGCAACCTTTTATATATATATAGTATTATTAGATAATCACTTATTATTTAAGTAAATAATTAAAACAAACATTTATTTATATTGTAAGTCTTACAACACTAACTTATACTTCAAGTACAAACAATTGAGCAAACAAATTCAATGGGAGTTTTGGCTTCGCATGGTTTTAGAAAGTTTGGATAAATTTGGCTCATAACTTGTTGTTTTAAGTTTCAAGCACGAATCTGAATTTTCATTTGTTAGTTGGCTTCTTACTTTACTTTTAATTATATTCATGCAAGAGAAGGCTTGCTCGCACCAATATGTCGATCCGAACATAGTCAGCATTCCAAATGCCAACTTCTTCACCTCACTATAGCAATCTGGAAGACTATTCCACGCATCAAATATAATTCAACATGCAGCCTTTCTTTTAAAGCTGTTCATTTTTGTTGCGTTACGTACATACATTTCTGGACCTCCAACTTTTTCAACTTCCTTATCAACTCTGTAAATTTTCAACTACACAAAGCTTTACTTTTTAAATCGATCAATTGCATTTCTAGAGATCCAGTATCAACCCCAAATGGCTCAGTATGGATCGATTTATAATTTTTTTTATAAAATAAATAATATTTGCGTATGAAACTAAAGAGCCGCAGCTTCACATCCAAAGAGCCGCATGTGGCTCGCGACTGCAGGTTGCCGACCCCTGCACTATCCTATATACCTATCTACGGGATGGGTGTCGTAAGAGGCAACAGAAGGAAACAGAAACAGAGGTAGGGCGGCCGCATCTTCCTGATAATAACTTAGACTAATATAAACTACGGTTGCCAACTTGCCAAGTGTGGCAAATTTGGCAAAATCCCTCCTATGAAGCAATCTATGAGTGAGACCTATGTTCAGCAGTGGACTTTTATAGGTTTTAATGGATGGGATGGATAATACCATGGATCCTCCTGAAAGCAACTGCTCCAGGACCACATTTGACTCAATAGCCTGTTGTTGTAATCTTCTGCAACGAATGAGTCTTGCATGACAGGTGAAACAAACAATTATTGGCCCCTCAATCTCATCCAACTGAAAATATGAAAATCTTCATAAATATGAAATAGTATTCAAATATAGTAGAACGCCGATTATCCGAACGCCGATTAACCGAATCGCCAATTATCCGAATCGGTCCTAAGCTTAATATAAAAAATTATAACCAAGTACAGCAAGTAACATTACTTAGATTACGTATACAATACTTGGTTAGCTGATATTAAAAATAACAGTGAAAAAATTTTAAGTTTTGTGACCGCAATGGAAAGTGGTGATGGATGTTCGTCGCGAAAAGTAATGAAAAAGGCAAAAGATGAACAGCTTGAGAATGCTGTTTTTACGTGGTTTCTGCAGCACCGATCTATTGGACAACCGATTTCAGGATCGATTTTATGTGAAAAGGCGCGAATATTCAGTGAAAAAATGGGTGTAGCTGGTTTTACTCTTTATAAAACTTTATAAAGTGTAAAACCATTTATAAAATTAATAAAGTTTATTCTATGTGTGACAGTTCGTTTTTCTATATTACATACCAGTCTATGTCCGATTATCCGAATTTTCGATTATCTGAATCAACCCCGGTCCCAATTAATTCGGATAATTGGTGTTCTACTGTATATAAGTTTGCAATAAAGATTATTGGCTACCACATTTTAATTTGTCAACATCACTTTTTATAATATTGAAGTGACAAATAAACTTACCATCTAGTAAGTGACTAATGGGCATCATGGGCACCTGCAACGAACTTCAAGCAATGGCTACAGATGCAATGTTACCTCTGAGGAGTAAGATGTAATGCATCACAGCCTGGCTCCCGATGTCCTTCAGACTGGGACACATACTGCTGCTTGGTGCCAGATAAATGATAAGAGGATGATATCTAGACAGAAAGAAACTCCTACGGTTCCCAGCCACCTACATCTATAAACTACATTACCTACATTAACTTCAAACTACTATCATCACTAAGAACATTACAAATATTTCCCTTATCACTCTAAGTAATCTGATAATGCTTGTGGTAGGAGGATATTGAAACAAAACACAGGGTGGTGGGTGGTACTACACATTCTGTGAAAGTGTATTACCACCCCGGTCGAGCCAACCCATCCATGATACAACCATAATATAGCTCCAGCCCGGCTCTACCACATATAATAATGATAATAATTCTTTCTACTCTATTCTCTCATTTTAATAGTCCGATAGAACTGTTTTAATTTGCTGAACAACCAAATCAGGGTAAATGTTAATTTCTTGATAGAAAATCACAATAATAGACATTCAAGTAATATGTACTAGAACAGACACCAGGAACAAAATCTATGCAGCAGTGCGGGTTGCATGGAAGGAATGGAAGGACAATGTACTAGTAGTACAATTAAGACCCAGATATTTCACACTTCAATAATCTACACGCTCAGCTGTGGAAAAATCTAGTAGACTGTAGACAAGCTAGGGAGGCCCTGCCTGAAATAAACAGTCGTTTAACCACACAAAGTCTAATGAGACTGAACAAGCCGCAGATCAGTATAGTAACAAGTGCTATCACAGGACACGGCAACTTTAACAAGCATTTATTTACTATAGGTGTTACAGATAGTCCCCTGTGCAGGGCATGTCTGGGGGAAGAAGAAATGGCGGCCCATGTGATATTGAAATGTCCGGAGGTCGCTACGTACAGGGCTAAACATCTCGGCACGCCGAGATCACTCCCCGAAGTTGCATGCAACATCAAAGGACTGTTGAGCTTCTTCGGGGAGATCTCATGACTCGAATAAGCATATTATTCCTGCTCACACGCAAAATATGCGTATAGATGTGGAGTTGCAGAAATCAGCCCATTGTAAACTATACTAAACTAAGACCCAGATACACTAGGGGCCATTTTGTCCCACAAGATGATGTGGAACACTCAATCTACATGACGATGCTACATTGCACAGTGACCCAGAACATTGTAAGTGACATGGGACATGTAGCTTGTTCCCTCACCGAGAGAGAGTGCACGTGTCCGGCATCAGTGTCACATCATTTGTTACCGGGTGTAGTTGCATGTACAACTTTACTTGCAACATGTCAGTTGTGTGGGGAAATTAAACCGTGCTTTTACTTCTTGAACTTTACCAGTGTCATCTTTTGTTATGGGATACTTCTAACCACTAACTTCTGGTGCTATTCTGCCAATCAGTTGTTTCAATACTCGAAAAGTGTATGACAAAGAAGCATATAAAACTCTAGTCAACAAGTATCTTAATGCAATGGCAAGTCTGATACCGATATGAGGGCAACAGCAATCCATAGTATAGTATTCTGTTTGGTTATGGAAGGTCCGATCATTTGTTATAACGTTTCAAAATCAGATGTTGACATTTGAGTAAAATTCTCAAAAGATCTGTCATACATTCGGAGATCACATAAAATATCAATTCCTCTTCCTTCTCATTGTAGTAAGGAATTCTGAATCCACCACCTTTTCTTTAGCTTACGTTTCACTCCCGCAATAAGCACTACGTACACAGCACTAATCGCCACCTCTTTGGGAGACATTTCTATAAGCACTGACTACTGACTAGTGTGGCCTGCAAAAAGTTCCGCGGCATGTCTCGGTACATTCCAGGTATTAGTTGAGAGACATGTTGCGCAACATGCCGCTCCTTGCGTACCCAAGTATATCCTACTAGGCTTTACTTAAATGATAATACTGATTTTAGTGCGACCCAGGATACCAGGCTAATTGTTATTTTTCAGGTTCTGGTTGTATTTGTCACTAAATTTAACGCTACACCTTATCGTACATATATCGGGCATCATAATGTATTTCTCCAGTGATAACAACAAATTATCGCAACTTCATTTAACAATAAATAAATATTAAAAAACTTACAAAACTGTTCGTCAATGTCCTATACAAATTTTGGAGGCCAGTCTCCTTTAGTACAACCATGCGTACATTAACGCTTAAACAAATTCTACAAACTTCACCTTCACTAAAGGCCATTGCTGTTTTCTATAGTTTTATTAAAAATTAAAATTGATTATTGAATTCTCTTTTTCATCAACAAACCGGACTTTTCACTTGTTGTAGGGATGTTCGATGATTATCGTATCGTAGCTTGCTACATATTTATTTATCTATGGCACGGCTGGTAATCTTTGGGCAAAAATCTTTGACCGTATGAAATGCAGTGAGCAATCCAGAACATGACGTTTCCCTCGTCCCTCCCATCTCTTGCCCCTTCCCGCTGCCGCCATTTTGTCATGTTATTGTCGCGTAGCTGTCAAGTTAGAATTCTTGGAAATTTTCATTTTGTTTTTCTATGAAGTATGAACTAACTATAAATTATAAATAGTTTTATTGGCATTTTACTGCTATTTTACGAAAGGATGTTTATTGTTTAATAGGTTATATATTTCGACGGGACGTTTTCTTTAGCTTTAGTGTATTTTATATAAAAATTTTAGTTTTAAAATGTATTTTTAAGTGTTCCATTCCCAATTGTGCAAGTAACAGAGAAGAGTCTGACGAAGGCCAAAGAAACAAGTGGTTGGACTTTATAAACGATGACAAACTTAAAAGTATGCTGCATTCCATTGTAACCATTTCAAGAAGCCTGCTTGGTCACAAAATTTTTGAATAAAGGGTTTCATACTGCTAAATCTGACATTAATAAGGCTAAAAAAGGTTGGATAAACTCAACACTAATCTTTGGAGTAGATTGAGTTAGGTTTATCATCAAAGATGACAAAGGTATGTACATTTAATTATTCCTTAATAAACGTAACTGCTCAGTATATTCAGTATTCATATAAAATTTCAAAAATTATAATAAAGATGTACGGGAGTACTGTACTTAAATAAAACTACTTAATTACTGGCATTTCAAGTGATCTCTTTGATAACAACTTAGTAATAATAATAAACTGGTTGCCAACTTGTCTGCCAAGAGTTACAACTATGGAAAATGTACACCTTATATGATAACCTATAAAGGCCTATGTTTACCAGTAGCTTTATGATAGTCTGCAATGAATAAATGATGAATGAAACATAATAATAAATTCTTTTTATAATAATTTATTAAAATTTTAAGTTAATGGCTGAAGTAAAAGTAATTCTATTATTTTAAATAATTAATTGTCAACATTATTTTATGCACAATCGCACAACTCTAGTCTTAATAATTACAAAATCAAGGATGTCTGAATGACAATGACAAACAATCTTTTATGTTTTTATTTCAGATGATAGTTCAAATAAACTTAGTCTGATATTTGATCAGCCATCATAAAAAAAGGTATGAGGAATAATTTTGCTGTCAAAACACATAATAACTTATGGAAATGTATCAAAATGGCAAGATGATGTGTACTAAACAGGACTGTAAGCATACTCAATTGCGCTTGTTAGATAAACTAAATGATGACCATGTGATTCCCAACGAAGTAAAAAAATTAAGGTAATAATCATGTAAAATTTAAATTGCAAAACAATTGCCATTCTTAAACTTTAGTTCAGATAATATTTTTATTAGGATTAGTAATATGTTTATATTTTTGAGCAAATTTGGTCTCTGTCTACACGCTGAAATAAATGAATTAATGTTAATTTCAATTTTAAGTGCTAATTTATCAGGTTCTGGAACATTGTAACGAAGTCTGTGTGTCTAAGGAATAAAAATATTTTAAAGATGTAGTCTACCAATAAGCACCTTGCCCAACTCATTGTTTCATACCCCTCTGAGAAATGAGACAGTCTGTGCCCAGCAGTAGAACATGAACAGACTCCAATAGATAATTGGCTACTTTACAAAATATACTTTTATCCTCCCAACCTTCTATCAAAAATTGCTACAGTGTACTTAATTATCTTAGGTATCAATGATAATCATGTTCAAAAATTATTGGAAATTTCTGTATAATTGTGAAAGCTTAGATTTATGTGAAAGTAACTTTATCTGACTACAATGGCCTCTTCTTGTCTTGACATTTTCTATGCAAACATTTATAAACAACAACAATTACAATGAGCAACAAGTTTAATATGTGCATATTAAACTTGTAATTTATATATTTAAATATTCCTTTTTCCAGCTCAATACACTGGATATCGAATGTATTGAAGAGAACCTTTTCACTGAAAATATTCAAGTGCAAGCAGCAAAGAAGGAATTATATGTTTACTCTATAGCATGTACCACACATGGGTTTCTGAAAGGCACGGACATCATTAGAATCGAAAAGTGTACATTGCCACCAATCCAAAAAAAAAAAACCTTGAACAAGTTTAAAAAAGTTAAAAAAATAAATCATATAATAAATAATATACATATACAATGCATTTTATTTCTACGAATCCTTCATAATAAAATAATAATAATGAAAATAGTAATTAAAATTATGAATATAAAAATATTATATGGGTATATACCTATATATGTATGTATATATATATATATTATACTAGGCTGAAATAAAATTATTCCCTTGCCTGTATCCTATTCATATTTAAAAAAAAACGAAATGTCATGTTCTGGTTTGCTCTACGGTCCAAACTAAATGTACCAGAGACGTCCGTCTGAACGCGTAGTGTTTCTATATAGTTTGTGATCTATGGCTGTTTTCTATAGCTTTATTAAAATTGATTATTGATTCTCTTTCTCATCAACAAACCGGACTTTTCTCTTGTTATTTTTTTTTGTAGTTTATGACCTGGTATCTAGACCTTTAGGCCATTCTCTTGTTATTATTACAATTTATCACAGAATACACACAATTTTTTATAATCACAGAACACTATTACTCCTAAAGTTTATAATGCGCCCAACGCGTAGTGTTTCTATATACCTAGTTTGTGTTTTGTTTGTGGCCCAGCGTAGGCTCTGGCAAAAAATACCGATGTATTAGTGATGGGTCAACTCGAGATGCGCTTAACTCGAGTTAACTCGATTTATATCTCCCCAACTCGAGTTTGGGCTGCTGTACATGAAGGAATCAAGTGAGCCAACATAAGAGTAAGAGCGCGATTTGTTCGTTGTGTGCGCGCTTTGTGTTTCATATAGTATTTAGTTACAGTCAAAACAATTTGTTATTTAGAGATTTATAATAGCTAAGTTACATATGTAATTTAATTTCATTTATAATTTTGATTAATTATGATCATTGTAGCTACGTATTTCACAGACCTATTATTGTAATACCTGAAAAGGGTGGTTAAGTTGTAAGATACATCATACTTTAAATTAACGCCAAACACTTAACTTAGAATAAATATTTTGAATTTGAAAAAGTTTGAACTTATTGAAGAATATTTTAACTGTGATAATTAAACTATTAATAGGTTATGTACTTACATCTTAAAGCTAGACTAATATTATTTCGTGAAGGCTGCTATATAAGTTGTTTTGTTGTTAAATACAGGTACTTTAACAAACATTAAAACCAAAAATACATAAGTATGTGATACATACTAAATATACATTTTCATTTCAATCATACACAATAAGTTTGGTAATTATGGTTATCCCAACACACCAAAGAGCTACAAAGAAAAAAATATTTATAATAAAATAATTTCTAACAAATCCTTTACTCTGTTTCATACTGCTAACTCGAGTTAACTCGAGTTGTAATTTTTCCAAATTGGCACATCTATACGATATATCGTCGATATTTTAAATCGCGATATATGGATCTTTATTTTCGAGTATCGAATTCGTATCCATTTCGATATATTTTAAAATGTTGTATTAATGACAAAACATGTAACAACAAAAGGAGGTACATATGAATTCATATGTGGTTGGTTGCGGTTTCCTTTTTCGTCGTCAAACCGTCAATAATATAAAATTATGGACCTAATCTTTACATCATGCATATCGATATTTATCACGCGATATATATTGACACTGTTTAAAATTATCGATGCGATTTTTTTCCTTATCTACCCATTAGCCCAGCGCCCACATTTTTTTAATAACTGGCTTTACGGCTCTGGGTTCTAGCCCTTCTGGTCCTGAAGTGCCAATATATAATTATCCTTCATAGTACACTGCTTCGCAATCGTAGATAGAGAATTGACTAGATAAAGCATTCGCGTATGCTTTTGAGATAGAAATAGGCGGGAGGTACTTTCACTGGGTTACCAGATATTGTTCCATTTCCCCCGTTATGGGTTTATTTATATTCACAGCACTTACATTCATACAAAAAACTTAATTGTTACCATAAAAAATGTGGCAAACACTGAACTCATTTGGGTTGAGCGCTGGTCTGATACAGGCATTGAAGTCTCTATATAGGGACTCTAGTGCTTGTGTCAGGATCAACGGGGCCTACTCGGACTGGTTTGACATCCATAAAGGTGTCAGACAGGGCTGTGTGGCTTCCCCGTGGTTGTTCAACCTATTTATGGACAGTTGTTTGGAAAATTTGAAAGTAGAAGAATGCGGGTTAAGAATGGGTGAGTTAACCGTCAAATGCCTTTTGTACGCCGATGATCAAGTCATACTTGCGTCGTCGGCAGCCGAGTTGCAAATGATGGTTACATTAATGAACAGGACATTAAAAGAAAAGGGAATGAAAGTGAACGCAAGTAAGACGAAAGTTATGGTTTTTGAAAGAGAAGAAAGTAAAACGATATGTGAAATAAGAATAGAAGGGGAGTTGGTAGAGCAAGTAGATGAGTTTGTATATTTGGGATGTGTGTTTAGCAGGGATGGTAGATATAAGGATATAGAACGACGAGTGAATGCAGGAAATAGAGTGAATGGGGCTCTACACTCTATTGTGAAAAGTCAGAATGTGTCCAAAAAGGCACGTATGGCAATTCACAATGCTGTGTTAGTACCTACTTTAATGTATGGTAGTGAAAGTTGGGTGTGGCAGAAGAAGCATGAGAGTAGAATAAATGCTGTAGAAATGCGGTCATTAAGGAGTATGTTAGGGATGAAGCTGAATGACAGAGTGAGAAATTGTTTAATAAGAGAAGAGTGTGGTTTGCAAGATGATATTGTGACCAGGATTAAGAAAGGAATGCTTCGGTGGTTTGGCCATGTAGAAAGAATGAATGAGGAAAGAGTGACAAAG